GCGCTGATCGTGCTGGAGGGGGTGGACCGCGCCGGGAAGAGCACGCAGGGCCGCCGGCTGGTGGAGGCGCTGCGGGCCGACGGCCACCGGGCCGACCTCCTCCGCTTCCCGGGTACGGGACCTGCCGGCCCCAGGAGGAGACGGGGAGGGGTGAGGGAGTCCCGCTAGGCCGGGCCCGCGGCGCCCGGTGTGCCTCCGGGGCGGGGGGCGTGACATCCGAGGGCTCTCGTGGCACACGCGGCCTCTCACCCCCACCCTCGGACAGACCCTTGGACACCCCCAGCCTCAGATAGGCCAAATTCCTCCCGCCTGTGACAGACAGATAAACCCTGGCCCTGGACAGACCGACCACCTCCCACCAGTGGCAGGCAGATAGACCCCAGCCCTGGAAAGACCAACCTGCCACCCATGACAGACAATTTGACCCCCAGACTGACATGCATCCCTACCCCCGGACAGACAGACACCCTTTTGGCAAGAACAGCTTGGGGCAGCGTTTGTTGCTTTTCCCCTTTTTTCCTACAGAAAGAACAACAGAGATTGGGCGTCTGATTGGCTCCTACCTGGTGAAGGAGAAGAACCTGGAGGACCACACCGTTCACCTGCTCTTCTCCGCTAACCGCTGGGAACATGTGTAAAGATAATGTTTGTTAAGTTGTAAAAGAAAAATGCATGGTGTTGAATCCTCCCGGGTTTTAGCTTGCAGTGAATGCAGTAGGTTTAAGCCTGTTTAGCAAGGAAAACATGGCCAGAAGCAATGTTTTGAGGACTCTCACAGTTTTGAATTTATTCTTAGATCAAATCCCACGGTTTGGAGTTTTTTTTTTGGGGGGGTGTTAAATCATAGGTATAATTCCAACCCCTGTACTGTACTGCATTTAAGAACTGGGGAACTGAGACTGTACCAGTCTAGACTGCGAGTTTATTTCCTGAATGAAGAGACCTTGCTTTGCAAGGAAATCCATGTGAGTGACAAAGTGGTTAAGGAATCTTGTCCATATGTGCCCTCTTGCCAAAGGCTTCATTCAGCCGTAAGTGGCTGTCCTTGCTTTTGGTCCCTGAGTCTTTGTGTGTGGAGCTAGGGAAATCGGTGTCAGCTGTTGTTTTTACCTGGAAATCTATATTGCAAAATGTTTTAATTTTAATAAAAAAGCTTTGCCAATTCTGCTGTAGTGGTGGTGCCCAGCAAACTGGGAAAGCATATGGCAGATGAGTGAGCTGTAATAAGAAATGTCATTGTTGTGAATAAAGAATGCTTTTCTGTGACTGAGACAGAGCATATCACAAATCTACTGCACCACTTAGAAAAGGAAGAGGACTAAGCTGTTCATGTCTGATCTTGCCTGTAAGCCATGGAGCTGCCTAGAGCAGGGATAGGCACTGGGGTACCCTGAACTTTGGTGTCTTGAAAGGATATTGTTTAGTGTCTGCTAGAGGACAGAATACAAATAGCTATTTATCTGCAATCAGCATTTCAGATAACCCTGACACTGCTAAGAATCACTGTTGATGATGATGTACATTAATAGAGAAGCACAGACCTCATGAGTCATCTTAGATGAACTCCTTTAATTTGTATTGCTATAAAGGAGTGTAATATTTTTTTTTCTTCCACATGGTTTTCAGACCACTGATGAAAGAGAAACTACATCAAGGGATCACACTTGTGGTTGACAGATATGCCTTCTCTGGTGTGGCCTTCACAAGCGCCAAAGAGGTGAGTGAGAACTCCAGCAGCCCCTGCCCCTCTCTGCATTCGGGAAAGAAGCTCCAGTTAGATTCCTGATACAGGTGTTGGCACGCATGGCCCAGACTCCTGCTCTGGGGAAATGAGAATTGAAATGGAGGGGTAGAAGTCCCTGCTCGGGTATGGACGCGGTTGTCTTGCCTAGGTCTACCACTTCCCAGAAAGAGCAGAGAAACTCATTTGGTTACTTTTTATTAATCTGGACAGACTCCTGGCTGTGGGGAAGCTGGCCTGTTTGACTCTGGAGAATGATTTTGCAAGTTTACTTGAGATTCTCCACACTTGCCCTGGCTGCTGGCCCATAAATTTGCAAAGAATAAAAGAATGGTGCATGGACCTGTGGAAGTCCCAAAGTCCAGCCTCCTGTTCAAGAATAGGTCCAGTGTCAAGCAGGCTGCTTGGGGCCACATCCAGCCAAGGTTTGAGTATCTCCAGGGATATAAATGCACAACCTTTCTGGGCTCTTCTTTCAGTGTTTGCTCACCTTCATAGAAAACATTATTTTCTTCATTCCTGAATTTCTCACATTCCCGATTGTGTGTTTTGGCTTGTTTCTGTCTGCTTTCAAGACAAGTCAGCTCTGTCAGCCTTCCTTTAGATCATTCTAAAGGATATAAGATCCTTCTGAGCTGTGCTCTGAGGAGGCTGTCCTGGAAGATCAGCCAGCTCTCCTGTGCCTCTTTGCCTTCCACACGAGTTTCCCGGGGTATCCTGCTAAGGGGTCCCTAATAAATCTGCCCTTCTGAAGTCCATGCTGGTGATTCTGTTTGTCTTGTTGACTCCTCTCCAGATTTTAAACCACTGTCTCGTGTTCTCCGCTGCCCTTGACCTTCACATCTTTGACCAGTTCTTGCATGTCACCTCCCCTCACTGGCTTATCAATCACCGTGTCAAGAATTTCTTCAGCACACTCCAGAAACCTGGATTGTTTGTGGCCAGCAGATAGGGAGGTGGTTGAGATCCTCTATGAGTACCCGGACCTGCTATTGTGATCCTTCTTCCAGCTGCCTAAAGAATGTTCATCAACTTCCTCTCTAACCAGGCAGTCTGTAGCAGGCCCCATCCCAACATCGCCCCTGTTACTCTTCCCCAGTTTTGCTGCTTTCAGGGGAGCTTCCATTACCATATCATCCCCCAGACATTTCCTCCTGGCCTCCCACCTTCAGCTCTCTACAGATTGCAAACCTTCCCCTGTCATTTAAAGCTTAGCAGCTTGTTTGTGTAGACACTCTTGTCCCACTTCATCAGATGCATCCCATTCCTGCTCAGCAGCCAGTGATCCTTGGAGTGTCCTGTGGTCACAGAAGCTGAAGCCCTCACTGCAACACCAGCTGTACAGCTGAGAGTTGACCTACATTCATTCCTGCCCAAGCCTTTACCCGCTTCCTTGAAGCACTGAGTTGATTCTGGGCCCCCATGCCCTGTACCCTCACCTCCAGAGCCCGCAGTCACTCTTGGTACATTTAAGATCACCCTGATAGTATCGCTGGTGCCCATGTGAATGGGCAGTAAGCGACAAGCCTCAGTGGTCTCTCTACATCATAGATTCCTGTGCCCTGATGGAAGCCTTCAAATCTGATAACAAGATCCAAGAGCTGGAAAGCTTTGCCTCTTGTGTCTGGGCTGAAATTCCTGGGTAGGGCAGGTATTTTTCTGAAAAGGAGCCTCCATGGGCTTGCAAGATTCACACTAAAACTGTATGATGTTTTGGACTGGTAACAGCTGTATGGAGACTCAGAATATGACTTAGTATTTAGCTCTGCAGAAAATGTTAAAATCTTTAGATCTGTCCAACTTAAATGAGCATGAGAGGTGCACAGCACCTAGCAAAACCTGGCCTCCCAAAATTACAAAGACTGAATTCCCACATGATAAGTCTTTCCAGTTTGTAGCCTGTGCCTAGTGTTTAGGCTGCATTTATTCTCTTCTCTGGCTGTTTCCTCCCTACCCCACCTATGTAGCTAACCTGATTCTTTCCCTTCTTCACATTCCTTTCTTTCACCTCAAACTCTGTTTTTGTTTGGGACAGAACTTCTGCCTGGACTGGTGCAAACAGCCTGACGTTGGACTCCCAAAGCCCGATGTGATTCTGTTTCTTCATTTAAGCCCGGAAGAAGCCGCAGAACGAGGGAACTTTGGAAATGAACGTTATGAGAACAGCTCCTTCCAAGAGAAGGTTCTGCAGTCCTTCTCTCATCTGATGAAGGACAAGACGTTAAACTGGAAGGTGAGGAAATAACCCTAAAGTGGCCTGTCACAGATGAGGGTGGGGATCTCTTGTGAGAGCTCCTGAATTGTGCCCATTGCCCCTGCTCCTGGAGGGCACACTGGGGCCCAGCCATGGCCACTCCACTCTGGCAGAGAGGGCAGGCAACTCCCTGCTCCATGTCACCCTATGGGGCCCTGCTGGGGTAGAGGGAAGACATTTGGTTGATGTGTTTTCCAAAAGAGCTTTCTGGAAATCATTCTCTTTCTTAAAAGACAAACCTGGGTAAAAGGCAGTGGGACACACCCATGCTCTTCCCTGCCTGTTTCCTGCATCATCCCTGCCTGATGTCCTGCAGCATCTGCCAAGGATTCTGGAATCCCTCTGACACCTTTCTTCTCACAGGGCCAGTTTCCATCAGCATTTGCTGTCTTAATGCTACCAGAAGTCTCTCTAAATACGTGATTTTTTTTGTTCCACGCTGCTGCATTGCTTTTCCTTGTTCATTCCTTGGAGCTGTTTGAAGAGGACTGCGCAGCCTTATCCCAGAAGAGGAAGCATTCCCCATTTATCCTGTGTGTAGATCATCTAGGCGGAGGTTTTCTGGTGGGGGCATCCTTTTTACCATCTCCATCACCCTGTCAGTGCTCTATCATGAGGCATGGGCAGCATCTCTTTATTCTGTAGCTTTCATGCAGACACAGGAGGACGCAGATTATGGATACTAGTCACTAGAAGCTGGATATGTACACAGATTTGCCAAATGAGCAGACTGCAAGGTAAAAGTAATTCTTCACTGCCTGTTTCAGAGAATCATGTTTACATAACATGGAGTTTGTGTACTGTTAGGTCCTTCAGGTTCTAAATGTATAACAATCACCAAACTAGGACTTTTATTCCAGTAAATGTTATGATAGGACCTTCCCTACATCACGATGACTGGAAAAATAAGCTGAGAGAAAACACATAGCATAGCACAAAACCCAAAATAATTCATTAAATGAAAATAAGCATGCTGTCATATGAGACAATATGGAACTTCTGTATAGTCTGTAAACTGATTCTTCCAGAGATTGCAGCAGTGGACCACACATCTCTTATTACATCTCTTCTGTTATTTCTTTTGTTTCCTATCCTTTGCTTGAAAGGAAATTTCACTTAAAGCAACACATCTCTTTAAAATATCCCAAAGTGCACAACTATCAAACAGATAAATATCAGAATAGATGATGAAGAGGCGTCTCTGAAATAGTGATGAAAATCCACTTTCAGTACACATTAAAGGTGTAGTTACCATTCCCGTCTCATTGCCCTTCAGTATCAGATAGAATAACAGACATCAAACATTGCCAGAGAACTGTTCAGTCCAAGGCCTGGAATGCAGCTCAGTACCATTGGTTACACAGATAAATAGAGATCAGCAGGCTGCTTGAGGAGATTGTGTGAGCACAAAGGTGGGGTGCTGGCTGTGCTGTGAAATGAAAAGGCTACTGTTTAATCATGAAGTCTATTTATTGCATATCCTCACAGCTTTCTCATTCTCAGCAATGGTGTGTGGGCCAGTATTGTATAGATGACTGATGAATCTGTACCTCTCTACATCTTCTCACCAAATCCTTTCCACAACTTGGTCATGCCCTTAACCACATGCGAGGGATGCTGCTGTTCTTTAAATATTAGCCTGAGGAACATAGCACGGTATAGCTCTACCACCTCAGCTTGCACTATTTAAAAAAAATTATATCTGGAACTGGAACATCCTATGATGGATTTTTTAGAGGTTCCTACCATTGTGGGTGGAGTTTATTTTGAAGGACTGATGTTTCTGGGAGATGGCAGTACAGGATGAAGAACGTTTACCTGCCTTTGTTACGTGCCCCAAACACTGTCAATAAGCAACATGCCGCAGCAGCAGTTTCTTCTGTTTCCCTTCATCTAGCCCCACATCTACTACTTAAATGTCTATTCCTACATAAAATAGATTTTTTCCAATTCCACTCCAGAAGCAGTGCACAGGAGGTGTAATTAGCTCATTTCACTGCTCATGAATAGTAACAATATTGAGTAAAGAGGGAAGCAGAGATAACAGCCAGGTTTTTCTCATTTGGTGTTGTTAACTGAGGAACACATTTCTGTATTTTTTGTCTTGGAAACAGACAATGGATGCATCAAAGAGCATAGAAGACTTGCACAGAGAAATCAAGTCCATTGCAGAGGAAACCATGCAGGAGGTTCAGAATAAACCTTTGGGAGAACTTTGGAAATAAAACTTCATACAGGTTATCCTTTTAGACTTAAGGGAGAAGATACCTCTTGGATCTTCCTCACTTGGATGACTCCCCTACATCACCTTCCAGTAACCACAGCTTTGATTGCATATATTCTGGTTCCAGCATGGTGCTGATGCTCTTGGGATTTTTATCTGCTCCTCCCCTCCATCCTGCATAGTCCCTTCTGTGTTTTATAAATGAACATGCGATGAGCACGTAACAAATTTTTCATAAAAACCTCCCTACTTCAAGCGGGAGTTCTTATTCTAGCACCAGTCCTGTAGCACAGATGTGGTTATGAAACCCAGGGTTGCCCCTGGACACAGACACAGCAACAGGCAGGCAGCAGCCTTCCCAGTTATGTGGAGCTGCCCTGTTTCTGCTGCTTCTGCCTCTAGGAAATGCATCCCTGATGCTGAAACCAGTTTGTAGAGGGCTTGCTAATAAATTATTCTTTTAAACATTTTTTGCAGGGGTTGTTTGGGTTTTTTTTCAGTATGATCATTTACCTTCTATAAAGATATGGTGGTGTGGTTCAGGTACTAAATCCAGGGAGAGCAGTGTGCTAGAGCTGTGGAATGAGGGGAGAAATGAATTCAAGTCTGGTCCTCAGAGAACAATACAGAAACTGAACTGCTATGAGCAGATTTATTAGCTCACAGCAAGGCTAGTTTGAAGGGTGAGTGGCACATAAATTATTTTTGACTGGTCAAATTACTCCTGCAGCCAAGATCAGAGGAGTAGTCACCTGTGACTCCTACACTGACCCCAGAGCAATTTTAAACAGCCTGGCACAGGCTGCCACATTAGATCAGCTATGAATTCACTTAAGTCATCAGTAATGACCACTAAATACAATAAACTGGAATGGTAAATCGAGTAATTTTCAAGGTGCACTAGGATATGGGGATGACCAGGAGAGTTAACATCTCTATCTGCTAGACAATTAACTCACCTTCTAGCAGCGTGGACTGGACTGTCTCCAAGCTGGCCATACAGAGACTGAGTCCTGCTCTAGCTCTAAGAGAGAGGCAGATTGAACCAATCCACTAGCAGGGAGAGGAAGATAAAAGTTTTAAACAAAACTGCTAATGCAAGCATCCGCTGAAATAGAAAATCTGCTGCTTTCCCTGTATAGCTGCACAGCACCTGGTAGCAGAAATGCCTTGTGAAGGAGGTGAGCACCTGTAATGCCGAATCAGGCCCTTCCAGCAACACTGGAAGATGATGACACACAGAAAAGTAATTTAATTCATATTAGCTTTAAGCTTCTGACTAAAAAGCCTGAAACACCTGTTAAAGATCTAATAAAGCTGAGCTTAGCTCTGTTATTTGGGCTGCATTAACACTTAGGTAAAATCTTGTCTGGCTGAGCTTCCTTAACCATAAAAGCACGAACATGAAACAAGTAGTAACTCTTCTTGTGTACAAATCAAGAGGGAGATGGGTCAGTCCTGAGTGACTAGCTCTCAACAAAAGGGCCTGACAATGGCAACAGCTTTTCAGCACAAGCACTGTGTCCTGGTGTTGCACAGCAGAACAGGAAAAATAATTACTGAATTGACTACACTTAATTCTGTAACATTTAATACCTCAGAGCTGGTGCTTCAAAGGCTAGCTGGAAACTGATGCTACAAAAATCTATCAGTTAAATAGATAAACAGTAAAGAAACAAGTTTTACTTTCCACCTCCCCGTGCAAAAACTTTTGAGCTTCTGCTTGGCTCTTTCCCCTCTACCTCAAAAGCACACATAGACACCAAAAAAGTGTGTCCTGTCTCGGAAGGCCTTATGTTGTTTTAGAAGCAGGGAGATGCTGTGCTGCTTAAAATTCAAGTAGCGGAATTGCTATGGAAGTGTTTTTTCCTTTTCTGCCAACACATCTGCAGGTGCTCACCCTCTGGCAGACACAAGCAGCCAGCCTGTTCTGTCAGATACACCAAGAGGAAGATAGTCACAGCTGCACAGTTCAACTTTTGCTTCCATCTGCCTTCATTGCCCTAACAGAGTGAAAACTGCAGTCACTCTGTCAGTATTCCCAACCGTGCTGCAGCATTACTAGTTACCATCCGCCACCACCTTCAGTTGATGTGCAAGAATATCAGGACAGGCAAAGATTTTAGATCAGTTTATTCAGATACAAATTGAAAGCAAAGTGGAGCACAGCCCCACTTCCTCTGCTGCCTCTTCCCCTAACTACAAGAGAGAAGGGGAGAAGCAGGCAGAAAGCAGCAAATAATAATTTTGTGACAGAAGCATTGTGGTTCCCAGTTCAAACCTCTGCTTTTGGATAGCACAGGGACAGTTAGAGCATCAGTTGGTCAGTCACGGGGGAAATGGGTCATTTCTAGCCAGCTGTCACCACCCTTTGGGCACAAAAGCATCAATTGACAGGTTCCAATCCTAAACGTACAAAAGAAAGCCTTGTAAACAGGTTTGCAATCTGCAGCATGCCTGAAGGAGACTACTCCAGCAACTTCTGTTGCAGTTTGCATTAAGACAGCTCTCCTCCACGGTTTACCTTTCTCTGAATTCTGTGTGGAGAAGGGCCCCAGGCAGAGCTATCATCTTAAAGTAGCTAAAATTTCCAGTCTATGTGGACCTTCTCAAGGCATTCTGGTCCTTACTGCCCTTTGGGATGTTTACTTGAAATGGGTTTCTCCAGGTTAGCTCCTACAGTACCTTTGTGCACACTCTGCAAGGGACAGGGAACAGGCAGGACACAAAAGGGAAAGGTACCGATGTAGCGAGGGAGCCTACTCGGCCTTTAGGCACCTCTTCTGTTTTGGAAGGGGAATGTCTAACAGGAGTAGTTGGAGGAACTGCTGAACAACCCACCAAGGACACCTCAGGGAATTTTCTAGCTCATGTTTTTGGTACCGACAGGATTAAATCCCTAGCTGCCATGCCAGCACGCTGGGGCTCAGGCACACGACTGGCAGATCTCAGTTGTCCTGTCTTGCCTCTCCCAGCTGTGGACTACTTTCCCCCCGCCCCCCCCAGGACTATAGAATCCAGTTCTCTGCTCAAAGCAGATTTCCTGAAGATACTTGCTGTAGAGATTAATCCATTGTAGAAGCACAATGCTTTATCAACTCACCGAGCAAGAACATGCATTTTCTGTTCTTCCATTCTGTTATTTAAACTGAGATTGAGCTGTTCCTCCCCACCAGCACACGCCTGCTCCGCACCTTCCCAGACAGCCTTTCGCTTATTGAATTATCAGTCACTTATAGGTTCCCTCAACTTCCTTTTCATAGGATGTGAGCAGGAGAGGGGTACTACACCTGCGAGGAAGCGTTGTGTACTGGAAAGCATGAGCAGGAGTTGTACTGTAGGAAGCCCAGCCACCTGCACTCCCGGGGCTTCACAGCTGTCCTCTTGGGACACGTCTGCTGTTCATTTGCGTTGTGAGCTGCAGTCCAAGTTGGCCAGTGAGAAGAGAAGCTGCTAAAGGAATTAACTCTACATTTCACCTGCTAAACGATGGCGGCTCTACTTAAGCTTCAGAGGGGAGTCCCCATGGAAGGATTGAGCGCTCTAACGATTTCTGTGCCTCCCCCAGAAGGCCAGCTGACCTGCTGATGAAACAGATAGGCTTTGAACTTCTAAGCACCACTGCATCCACTTCCAGCAACTGTCTTCTGCCAAGAAATTCTGACTCCAGCCAGTAAGGCTCTAACACCCACTCGGTTCTTCATCCCAACGCAGACAATGCGTGCTCCGCTCAGAGGCTGCACAGAATGCCAGGATGGACAAGAGGCGGGGATGGCAGCAAGCGCCTATGAAAACCGGTAGCCCCAGGCTCTCGAAGGAGCTTCCCTCCCCCCCTTCTCCCCACACATAACACAAATTTGCAGAGTCAGTTTCCTATTTGTTTTCAAAGGGACAGGATTTCGAAGTCTTCATCTTCCGAGTCAAAGAACCTTTCCAATCTGTCAGCATCAGAGGAGTCTGCAAGAGAAAAAGAAAGTGCTGCCTCCATGGGATGCACTGACTGCTCAGCATCAGCGAGACCAGCAGTGAGAAGGCAGCAGAATTTGAGAGTCAAGTGCCTGCAAGTTCCAAGAGACCAGTGACATACCTGAATGAAGGCTCTGAGGAGGGATGAGAACATGACAGTAGCATGGAAAATGCACTGGAGAGGATTATATGGCGTGCAGGAAGGATTATATGATGCCATGTTTCACAGTCCTGGTGCAGTGCAACTGTGCTGTGACTTTTGTACAATCTTCTTGTGCAGCAGCTCTGTAGGAGACCGTTCTGCCTCAAGAGGCTCAAAACAGGAAAACTTGCCCAGGTCTGGACTAATATCCATGAAGATTTCTGGCCTAATTAAGTGATATGGGAACATTTCTTTTCCCCTCCATGTATTAAAGACTTGTTTAATGCTATAGTTGCCTTTGATCAGCTACTGGGGAATGTAATCACACAACATGTGCTCTCCCAAAAGCAATTAGTACAGTCCATTTTGTAAGTAAAGGTAATGGTCTTGATCCCTCCTGTCCATCCTTCCAACTCTGTGGTAAGGAGGGAGTACAAATCTAAAGGCAAAGCAACTTTACCACAGGGGAAATTCAAGTGAGAACATACGGGCAAACTGAAGAAGTAAAGGAGAAATCTACTTTGACTCAGTCTGCAAAAAAGCACTTGCTGGACTTGGCAGACCAGCCAGCCAAAAGCTAAACTGCAATAAATGATGGCTGGGGACAGAGAAATGAAAAGTTGCAAAGCCACCTAGAACATTTTGTGACAAGCTTTAATCCCACAGTAGAGTGTGCAAATGCTTAGTGTCACGGGTTTTGATCAAACTGCAGTGCCCATGAGTGCTGGCAGTACAATTTCCAGAGGTACTCCTCAGAGGAGTGGCTCCTTTCACTTAAGTAACATAGAGAACTCAACTACCTGAGAAAAATAAGGGGCTGGACAGTCATGAAAGTATAGGTACTCCTCTAGCGAGGTGTACAACTAAGAGACGGAGTAGCCATTAGCTCATGGGAGCTCCACAAGATAGGGAAGAGGAAAAAGAATAAGTAGCCCATTACAAAAACATTTTTAGGGGTAAGAAAGGCAGCAATTAGGGACAATTTAATATAGGTGAGGATCAATTGACAGTTTAAAGGAAATCAAGCATTCTTAACAGAAAAGGACAGTGAGATAAGGAAGGTTTTGAAAGTTCATGCTAAGGGAGAGAGACAGCAAGGAAGCACAGGGTGCAGGATGCATGTAAGAGGACACAGTCCAATGACTGGTGACAGGGTAGGTTTGTCCATGCATACTCACTGCTCTTGGCAGACGCTGTCAATGGCCCTTTACCTCCTGCAACGTTTGTGCATGCTATTAACATGATAGGCAGAGCCTGACAGCCAAGATACTGCCCCAGCACTTGTTCCTTTTTGCATTGGTAGAGGCACATGCACAGGGAAGGAGTGCCTTACACTGGAACTAAGTTTGACCACCCCTGTCTTTGACCATTTTCATTACCTAGAAACTCAGTTTTCAGCCTTTTCAAGGGACCCTTTTGATTCCTTCAAGCATCCTTTTATGAATCAGATTCACACTGCTGTGATAGCCCATGAACTTGTTTTTTTTTTCTCCCCTCAGTCATCATCATCACCACCATTCACAGACTCATTCTAAAAATCATCCTGAGACACTTGCAATCTGCAGCTGAAAGCCAAAGAAGTAGATCAATTGACCCAAGAGCTCCAGATCAAACTCCAGGCAGAACAGGAATGTACTAGAAGTCACTGTGCAATTCCACACAATTTCTGGAAAACCAAAGGGACCAGCTCACCCTTGGCTCTACCTCCCTGCATGGCCTCACCTGGTGTGAGATTCAGGACATCGGGGTTGGAGAAATGTGACGGCTGGCGTTCGACCAGTTCGAACATTGGCAGCGCTCCTCTTACCAGGGACAGCTGCGGAACAAGAGTAGAGCCATGAGAACCAACAACTCTGTACTCATAGTGCACTGGGTCTTTAAGGGGTAATAATGATCCGTTGGGACTTCACTGCAGCTGAAAAAGTGTTTTTCAAATCTTTGACTTGCATCATCAACAGAATTCCAGAGCTATGCCCTTTTTGCTAGTTTAATAAACTGTTTTCATGTGCTTTAGAGAGGGATCATGCTGCAGAGAACATGGTCTCTGTGCAGTGGTTTGGAAACTAGACAATACCCTATATTCCTTTCCCAATGATATAAACACAAACCTTTTTGATTTGCTGGCACCAATCGCTAAAGTCCTCCTCTGTGTTGCAGAAAAAGCCCTGGAAAAAAAAAATCTTTATATATTGTAGATTGATCACTTCAGTCTTAAAGCCTTGTATTAATGCCAAGCAACACAACCAGGACTGCAAGCAGTTAAAACACCTAACTGCCTTGCTTTAAAACTGTGGCTTACACTGCCCTGTTAAACTGAACACCCCCCCATATGCTTGATGTGACCAGACTATCCAAGTGTTGGAATCATCAATGTAATGTTCTGCTTTATTGCAGAAGGAAAATCGGGCAGAAATAACCCACATGGAAGCAGGAACAAGCCACACTGAATCAGAACATGGCTTCAGGAATGGATTCAGATCCACCCACTAAAAGGCAGGAGTCAAAGCCCAAACTAAACCTGAGAGAAGGATACTGCCCCATGAGGAATGATATTTAATTGCCATGCATTTTAATTGCCCTGTACCAAACCACTTCCTGCGCAAGGAGCTTCTTCACCAGCTTTACTGGAACCCACAGCAGCAGGTGCCCAGAGCACAGCATGCCTGTGGAGTATCCAACCCATCACTGCTGCCTTTGCCAGTTCCCTGGGGAAGGGGACAGCTGTGAAACAGAGGGACCACCACACTGTTCCTTCAGTTATCAGAAACAAGCAGCAGAAACGCACCACTGCAATGGAGGGGTCGAGCTCGGCAATGCTCATCCTGCAGGGAGGGTGCTGGCAGTGGAAGCTTTCGTCGGGGAGACAGCCGCTGTCATTGGGCTCCACTGCAGGCTGCGTGGTGTGGGGATCCAGGTAAATGAGTTCCTCACCTGGACAGAGAGGCAAAGAGACATCAACAGGAGGAACCATGCCAAGGAAGAGCGATGACAGAGCCAGCTCTTGTAACCCCACAAAGGAACCCACATTCTAGGGACAATTCGCTTTCAGCCACTTGCCCAAATGCTTCTCATCCAGGCAAAGAGCCAGCTGCCAGCAGAATCACAGTGGCCACTCCACAGTGACACCCTGGGATCAAGGCACAGGCACTATTTGGATACTGTTCCTGCACATGCCTTCCAGGGTCCTGTAAGCTCAGGTAGGGCCCAGAAATCCAAAGCACAACGAGCTTGAGGTCTCAGGCAGAGAGAAAATCAGAGGGAAGAAGGAGAGTAAAAGGACAACAGTTTGTAGGGTTTCAGGAAGGGGATAACTAAAGGACAGTTAAATCCAGCCAAGCCCCCAAAGGGAGGGTCGGCTCTGGGTGTAGGAAGAAGTCTCTATGCACACCACTTTACAGACAGCATTTAGCATTACACTGTGGAAGTTCACAGCCCGTACTACAGCCATTGCTCAAAGCTACATCATCCTTGCAAAGAGGTTCAGTCACAGCAGCCTTCTACAGTTCCAGCAGGAAAGAACCACCCTGCAGCATGCATGACAGACCAAGCAGGAGAGCTCTACTGCTTAAGCATTTTTTAGCTGGGGATAGATGCTTGGAAAGCCTCTGCAGTACTCTGGGCACTCACCTACATAGCCAATGAAGTAGTGAGCACTGTTTGGTTTCCCTCCGATCACTCCCAGGGACTGGGGCATCATGAAGCAGTGCTGGAAAAGCAATACAGAAAACACACAGCTGACAGACAATGAGACAGCAGGTGGCAACAAAGGCAAACATCCAAAAATGCAGTGGGAAAGAAAGACAGGGACACTGAAAATCAGCAACTCTAGCAGCAGAAACAGCCGTTTCTGGAGAGAAGCTCCTTCAGGAAGGCTGAAGGCTGCGACACAGGGCCTTCAAGGGACACAGAAGCAGATCAGAAACACTCTTAAACTGCTGACAGGAACACACAGGTGAACCAAATGGAAGAAGCAGCACTACTCCAGGACCCAGTCGGGGTTAAATCCTGGCTCTGCTGCAGTGGGTGGCAAGATCCCTTGAAGCTGTCATCAGGGTGCAATAGTGCTCTTGGGAGGAAACAGTCTAAGTTCCTTATCCAGCTGCAGTATCCAGGCACCATCTACTGAGTTAAGGGCAAGTAACCTCACATGAATTTGGAGCTCTCTTACCTGTGCAGCTCAGAGCTTGCTAGCATGAGGACAAGACAATGTGCACCCTGTCCTGCACACATACTCTGCACACCCTAAATTCTGCAGCCTCCCAATACCCAACCTGCAACTGTCTGCCAGCTTCTAGCCTCAGTCTGCAGTACAAGCTCCAGCAGAGCCACAGGGAGTTTGCACCACTAATGCTCAGGTTAATGCTCATTAATGCTCAGGTTGCCACCAAACACAGTACAGCTGTGCTGAACAAACGCTTCAGCAGGTTGGTACCATCTAAACGCAAAGAGGGACTGAGATTAAGTTGAGAAGTAAGATCCTCAAAAAAGAAACCAACCAAAAAAGCCCCAACTCCCCAAACCCCCCACATTTCCTGACTATAGCCTACAAGAACCCATGTCCTGAACTCTGACAAGGATTGTCTCTAAACATTTTTCTTTTGCAAATAGGACAGTTACTTCTGAGTAATTTTGCCCCCAAACCAAATTACAGAAATCACTTAATTCACAACAGAGTCCTTAAGCATCAGAACACCAGGAATTCAGCTCCAGATCCCCTACCTTTAGTGTTTCAATATAGGCTTCATTGATCTCTGTGAGCCCAAGGCGGAGAGGTATCAGCAGCACCAATGGTTTCCACAGTGAGAGCCTATCTCTAACCCCCGCTTCCTCTGGGTACCCGTTATAGAGTACGTCTGACTCCACAGCAGGGCATGCTGCAGCTCCAGCACATGGAAAGTTGGACTGGCACAACCGCCCTACAGAAAGGGAACATGAGCAGAAAGCATCAGAAATAACCTCTGTTTCTAGGCCTTGAATAATTCTATTCAAGATCTGATCAACAGGTGCCATTTACTAAAAGCCTACAGCGCTTAATAAAAAGAAAAGCTTAAAGAGGTCCAGTGCTGGGATCATGTGATGCATGTACTCCCTGCCAGGCTTCTGGTAGAGTTCAGCATTTCATCTAAGCTTACATCAAGATTATGCCAAAGCATGCTGTACTCACAGCCACCATCTGGTGGGCCATTAAAATGCAAATTCTTCTAGCAGGTAAGCAGCTAAGCAACAATCTGTGCCAAAAAAAGTTGAACAAGTTGATTAGGAGGTCAGGCAAGAGTCCTGAATTCACAAAGTGTGTAGGCACAAAGAGAAAAACCAGGAGCATTCAACTCCAGAGGAGTTCATGGAGGATATGAAGACAGCTGAACTGAACTAGGAAAGCGTTATTGCTTAACACAGGAAATATTCACCCATGGTGTCTCTCTAGAGTAGCTGTAATTTTCCTAAAGTTCACTAGAGCCTTCACAAACTCTACTGTGGGATCTTTCATAAGCATTTTTAGAGACTGAAAGCAGATGATCACTAAACACTGCACTTCCAGCACGAGCTTTCCCTGCAAGATATGGGGCAGTAAAACTCCTCAGAGTGCAAGCATACATAAGCACTATGCATTCTCATTCTACAGGCTTGACAAACGTACAGCCAGGCTGTAATGTAACCAGGTTATGTAAATTCTGGCCCAGAAACATCTCCAAGCCTACCTGTCTCACCGGCCAATTTCGTTACTTGCTGAGCATGTGGAAAAAACAACCCAACCCCCAAAGAAACCCAGAGCACTTTAATCAGGAAGCTAAGGCAATTAGACAAAATGCCAGAGGTTTATTTAATTTATTCCAGACCTAATCTGAATACCAGGACACTCTAGCAGGTAGAACACAGTGTAAACAAACACCTTAATCACTAGCCATTTCAGAAGGATGTTTGCTCACTACTAAAAGCTTCAAACCCAGCTGAACAATGAGAATGTTACACCCAAGGTTAGAAGAAACAGGACTCTGATCTAAAGCCTCAGTATGAGAGACAAACTGCACTGAAGAGTTTGCAGTTGCTCCCCATACCATTCCTCAAGGAGGGAAAAGGTGTATGTGTGCAGCTCTCATGCAACAGACAGTATAGTTACTGGAGGTCCTGAGAAAATTGGAAGTAATTATTTGCAGTGATTTATCCTGTTAAAACAGTAAAGACCATGGGGGGGGTGGAATGGTCGCCTGCCTGTTCTGATGATCTGCAACCAGCTGCCAAGCCAGGGCTGTTGCTGAATGTAGTGTCACTGCAGGTTTCCTCATCAGGCAAAGCAACTGGCAATCCAGCGCTATTTAACCCAAGTTTAAACAATAGGGAGCTTGGCACACACCAAATTCACCTTGCTTCTTTGGCAGGTTTTGCAGTGTTATGGTGCCACAGCGCAGCGGAACCTGCCTAAAGCTTCCCAGCTGGATCCAACCCATTTACTGCAAACATATTCCAACAGATTTGACACATCTCTCCTGCTGTGGCTGCTGCTGTCAGGTATTGGCTTTACTGTCTTGGTTTCTCAGCACCTTAATGATGCACAGGATTCTCCAATGCCCAACCAAGATCCCCTTTCTGATACAACAGGCTGACTCAAAAGGGATAAAGATGGATGTTTCTTCACTGATGTAACAAAAGGCATTTCCTATGAACTTTAGGCTGAACAGTATTAGTGACCAAATTTAACAGATGTATGAAACAGCATTAACTTCTGAATGCTTCACTATCAACAGATGTTTGGGCCACAAGATACATAACACACCTACAGACATTGAACACATCAGACCCACTGATACAGTAATTTTCAGGCCCTGAACAAGTACATTATGATTTACATTTGAGGAAAATAAACAAACACTCCCTCCACATTACAAGCTGCATGGACACATTACTTGAAGCCGTGTCAGTACTGAACACTCAGTGGCACACAGACAAGAGCCTGCAGCACACCCAACCCTCACAGGCAGCATGTTTCAGTTCTAGAAATAATGTTTTCAGGCTAAAGATGAAAGATAAATTCAATTTCTGTGTTCCTGCTGGCCCCTGTGGCCATCAGCATGTACCTTCACAGGACTATGTGTACCTAAGGTTAGACAGGCACTTCTCAATCCAATCCTTTGTTTCTTGGCCACTCAACTGAGACTACCTGACAAGATGTGACTTTGTAAAGTGACTGTCCTGCACTCTAGGCCTGTTAATTGATTTTGGCTCCGTGGCAGCCAAAGCTAGCTAAAATGATGCCTGCCACAACCTCACCTGTAACCTTGCACCAGCTTCAGTGCCCACTGGACTGTTCTACGTACTGTTTCAGAACACCAGGCTGGCAGAAAAGATTGCATGGTTTTGTGCTGTGTAAGCTTGCTGCCTCATGAGTTAGTCTAAAGCAAGCAAGGGGAAGGCTTGTGTGGCCAGGACTATGCAGGACTGCAGCAACCAGCAATGCAGGCATTCAGCTTTGGTTACTGTGGCACCACAGCCTGAGCAAGCATGCTGGGGATGAACACATTGCAGAGTTGCTCAGCCTCCAGAGCCAGCCTGTTGTCAGGATGCACCAAGGAAGAACAAAAGAAACCCCAAAACAACCAGTGAACATTGCTTAAACGATGAGAGATCCATTCCAGAGGTGGTTTCCCTTCTCCTCCCCCACCCTCATGAATTTTGTTCATTTTCCTCTTCAGCAATCTGTTCTAGTTTTCTTACTCTGCCTAATAGCAGAGACACTCCTACTCCATTATACGAGAGAGGAAGCAGCCATTTACTGCTCGCTACCTGTGGCCATAAACAAGTTTGACACTACCTTCCAAGCAGCTCCCACCTATTATCTGAAGGTCAGCAGACCTTCTCTCCAGATCCAGAGGCCACAGTGCCAAGTCAGAGGCTTTATCACGTGAAGCAAAAGTCAAACGAGGGGCTTCATTGCCCTGGAACAGCAATTCTTATCTGCTTTTAGCATGCTTGGCCACAGCTTTAAGACAGAACATTTACATCATACTTGTTGTGTTGTACTACTATATACTCTTCAGATTTTTTTCTGGCTCCTTGCTGACGGAGGATGCACCACATTCCTCCTCCATGTGATACTTACGGATTTCTTCCATCACTACTGTGTTGTCCATGGCTATATGTACTGCCAGTGAACTCCATGTATCAAAAGTTGCAAGTTTTCTACAGGAAAATTCAAAATAAAAGTAAGCAAGTACAAGACAAAGATGCTGGTGTATCAGAGAGGAGTAACTGGATTAGAAGAGATTGGCTGTCATCAATGATGCTGTAAAGCATGCTCTTAGACATGTATTAGAGTTGTATACTTCCTTGTCACTAGTTATTATGCTTGGAAGAATAAACAGGGACCACATTTGGGAATTTGTCCCTCAGCAGCTACTAAGTACAACAGAGCTGACACAATCTCCAAGTCAAATCCAATAACTGCTGGTTACCAGAAAGCAAGACAGAATTTTTAAAAAGTAATAAATTAAAAAAAATTACTTTTACTTTCTGTACATATCTCCTGATCACCTATACCAGATCTTGGGCTAATTCAGCATACGGTCTGACCCAGGAAAGCTGTTTGTAGGCAATCTTAGCTATTCCAGGGAGCTACGTGCTCATCTAATCAAAGCAAGGGAAGAACAGTGACAGGAAAGAGAATGTTTCTCAAAATACAGTGTGTCCCAGTTAAAGGCAGTCCATGCCCCATCACCACTCTGATCCTCTGCCCATCACCATGGAACCCAGGCAGCAAATATTAAAGCATTCCTCTGCTAATGCATTAGTGATGGATCACTGGCAGCTTTTTGATAATGACACTATTGTCAGGTCAGAGGCAACTTGGAGGCTAGCAGAGATCGAAACGATGGCAACAATCATCTACTCTGACACTTGTTTCTGGTCTGCTGCAGAGTACTGCACTCTGTTCTAGTGGCAAGCACACTACTTGTGGGATGGGAAGAGAGGTTTTTTGGGGTTGTCCTGAAATCTGTTTTCTCTCACATCCTGCCAGCATCTAAACAACAGAAGGGCTCCCTTCAAGTTCCTGCCTGAGCAGGTCGATAAGGTCAAGCATTAAAACATACAGTTGCACTTCAGTCCATGGGCAGAAACCTGTGCTAGGAGGTACTACAACCCAAATGGCCCCACTGTGTGGTTCAAAAGATATAAAGGGAAAATGTAGCACTTACCTGAGCACCTGTGCGACTGTGTTTGGTCCATACCACTGACCTATGGATTTTCCCTCTCCAACTCCCATCTGGGCTGCATCACAAGAAAAAAACAAAATAATTTAGCAAATAATTTCACCCGCACTGCATCCCTTCCTAAACAGTTTGTATTTAATAGGGAAGAAATCTCACTTGGAAATGTTTTTGAGTCAGCAGAATCTACTCTTTCATGGGGTATCTTAGTGTAGATGGGAGAGTGAAGCACATTCTGAAGGACTGTAAAGGAAATCCTTTCCCCAGCATGCAATAACACAAAAGTTCAAAAGGCAACGTTACCAAAGAAATTTTTCTTGAAGTGTTTGATTACCAGATCACCCCCGTAATCTGAAGTTCTGTTCACTAAAGCTATAGGTGCCTTAACACCCTATAGGAAAAACTGGAACAGGTTGCTTCTCTTTTATTTGCCAGGGAAATTTATATCAAAGTGAGATCCTTCCTTAGTTCACTTGCTACTTCTGAGAATTTCTTCGCTCAACAATATTCTCATATGACAAGGTCCTAGTGAGAACAGCAACCACATGTGTTTCTCTCACCTTAGCTAGGATATGGAAAGTTATGCTGAATATAACATTAATAATAAAGCGTTAGGCAAACAGGACAGCCTTAATGGAGACAAGAAGAAAAATCCATCATAACCCACAATAAAGAGTGGCAGTTTTACATGACATCAGAAAACAAGCAGCATAATATCATGTACTACCTGACTCACCCATTGGGGTTTTTTTTTGGCTAAGCTAGTGAAACAACACGGAGTGATGTTCTGCACTCATGGGAAACACTGACTGAGTATCTCCACACTCTTCAGCATCCAGACTCTTACCTATCTGGTGAATGGAGTAGTAGCTGTCTTTTTTGTCAATGAAGGCATTAAGAACATTGAAGTAATTATCCATCTGCCTCTTCCCTTTTATCCACCTCCACTCTAAGACAGACAAGGGTATATAGGAAACAAAACATGATATTTATTAGCAACTAGACGCTGAAAGCTATAATCCTCCCCCCGTGTACCAATCAGCTGACCTGATTTTCATGTTGCTATCTTATTACTAGGCATCCAAGCCATTCCCAACACTAAAGGATTAATTTTAAAAGAAAAGTAAGCATTCTCACAGCTAAGATAAAGGAGTATCACCGACAGAAAATCAAATATACCAGAAATTGTACCTCTAACCCACAGATGGGAAACAAGATTATAATTTCTCATTGACAGGAGTGAGCTACATATTCTGGGAAAAAACAGGTGACCTCACTACAAAAGTCATCCCCCAAAAATTCAAAGGCCATCAAGTGACAAAAAAAATGCTCTGGTATAGCTGCTTACAGACCAAGCATGAGTCAAGCACAAGCACAGGGAGAGGAAAACTAAACTCAGTAAGCGAGGACTTTGTGACAAAACTGAACTATAAACAAGCATCAACCTACTAAGTTGTTTCAAGCTTCAGCTATATAAAAAAATCTTTCAAGAAAAATCTAGTACATGCTTGGCTTCAGTGGATTTAACCCATACGTTACGAGGCTCTGCTTTAAGGCTTGTACAACTGTATCTATGTAGAGTTGTAGACAGCAGGGAAAAACCTGTTGGACAGTTTCCAGTAGACCGTTCTCACAATAGCCCTGATATTGAGAAGACTAAAGGAAAAGTTAGAGCCCTCAGAAATTCCTAGCTGTGCCCTTGTTATCTGCTGTCCTTATAAGTACTGCACTTGTGGAAGCACATGGCCCTGGGAGTCAGTATGGGCTTTGCATGGGTTTACCTCTTCCCAAATGCCTGCAGACCAAGGCCTGAGCAAATATCATCTGGCCACACCGTAGCATACAGCCCCAGCCAGTATCAGATGTGGGACCAGTTCCTCCTGTAAACGAGGACAGAAAATGTAATGAATAGTAAAACAGACAAGAGGGAGAAGACATGAAAGCTCTCTAAGTCTGCACAGATAGCAGGTTCACCCAAGAAATCAGACAGGAAATAAGGGACCTTAGCTCATGTACCCAAGGCTGAGAAACAAAAGGGTAGTTATCAGTGAGTAACTTATTGTAATCCCCTAAAAACAAACCCCTTTAACACTAACTGAAAGTTGAAAAAAACCTTCAAAAGCAAATCCAAACAACTCAAATAGAAAGATAGCTGAATTTCTCAGGAACCCAACAGCACTTGAACCTAGTTGCAGACTCCCAGCCTAATTCAGATACACATTTCTACACAGAGGTGCTTGTTACAGGCGACTTCTTGTAGTCCTCATCTTGAGAGGACAACTCATCACGCAAAACAAACCAGTCCTCAGGCATTCCTACATCATAAGCAGCTATGACTGGATGAAATTCCAAAGTAAACAACATAGGCCAAAAAAAACCCCACCCGAGCAACAAAAACCCCACATCCTACATAATATCAAAGAACAAGCTGGGTATTAGCTCACGCTGGAAAGTCTGAGACAAAGGCCTCAAGGCTGGAAGCACTTCCCTGACAGAACTTCAAAAGGAAGCTGCTGCTCCTCCACTGAAGCTCTGGCTATTATTACAAGTTTCATAGATAAAATGTTTAGTGTGACCACAGCAATGAGCTGTCTTACAAGCATGCAGTCAGCTGCGCCTTAGCACAGCTGCTACAAGTAGCTTCTTTGTAACGCTGCTTTCTTTTTTTGATCCTGTGCAACTACTTTGTATGAAAAAGCATAGGGAGAGAACAAACACCCAAGAGAACTATTCAATCAACTTCTTGACAGTCAGCAGTTATCTTGTAAATTGCTGGCAAAATTATACAACATATACAACATCTAAAATTGATAATGCTTTACAAAATTAGCAGAAGACTTTCTCCTTACCCTCTGAAGGGCTTAAAGTATTTAAGTGGGCAAACACAGAGAAGTGGCCAACAATAAAAGGGATGACTGGGAGAAAAAAGACTAAAAAAGGAAAATATCTACTGTATGACATGCAAATCGTATCTTTACTGTAAATGGGAAATGACTCAGAAAATGGGATTTCTTTTCACCTCCCCACCCTTTAATAACTCATATAGAAACCCCAATGGTGCTTGTGAACCATAAACATGTTAACCCTTCATTTGCAAACGTGTGTTTAACTATGGCTCACAAACGTGAATTTAAAGGGATTAAATGCATCAAAAACATCTCATAGCTTGTTAGGCAAAGTGTTTCCCAGTAGAGAAAGAACAGAACAAGCCAGAAGGACCAGTTACCAAGAAGTCTCTTTTCCAAACCCGAGCTATTTTCCCCATTGACTGCTGGGGATGATGTTGACAGTGGTGACATAGATGGGGCTTGGAATCCTACTCACCTGCTCTCAGATCTCGATACACCTTCCACCTAGTACACAAAACCAAACCACAGTAGAGACCATGGACCATCTTAAGGAACAAAGACATCCTCCTTCGAGTTCACTGGGAATGGTCCCCATATTACTACAGTTTCTGAGTGTAACAGCCACTTCAGGCACTTAAAAACACAGTCTGGGGCAGATGCACAAGGGCAATAATTGCTGTATGGTATCTCTAGCTTTCATTGTTTTCATCCACTTCAAGCCTAAGACCATCATTAAACAATATTTCATGTCAGACTTGCGCTACACTGTGTTGCTCAAAGAAAAGATGTTTTTAGGTAGGCTTCCCAAACTCATTCTTGTGACCTTTTTAAAATCAGTTATTCTTCATACCAAAGGGGATAAGGAATTCTCATTATCACATAAACAAAAAGTATATCCCATCAATTAAATGAAGTGCATTTCAGGTTCTTATAAATGGGAGTGCATTAATGTTATGCTTGTTTTATCAGGTAGAAATAAACGGATTATCATCATTTCCAGGAGGTACTTAGACTCGTCCACAGCACGTACCAATAGCAGGGAAGTTCTTTCTGTAGGTGAACCAAAGTCGGGAGGTCACATCCAACAGGATCTCTTCTTTCTCTGAAAAATTTTCAGCATCAAAAGACACGCACATGCGAGGAGCACCAAACACAGCTAAATCCATCTCCCACTCACCATCCCTAGCAACAACAGTGTTCTACTCCTCCGAGAGTCTGCATGACCAGAAAGGCAAAATCTGGCTGAGGAACAGGACAGTGCTGCTGTGCAGAAGAAACTTTCCTCATCCCCCAAAATAGCCGCAGTTAACACAAGGACACTATGGCCATAGGTAAATTATGAAGCAGTAAACCATGTTCTTACCTTTCCCCTGAGCTATCCCTTTGCTTCAACCATCTTGGCCTCCCAACACAAGTCCCAGTAACTACTGTATAGTAACTTTCTGCACAAAAACATTCCAGTCTGCAGAGATCGCCAGCCAGCCAGCAGCATGGCAGTTATAGTCTTGCTTTGACAGCAAACAGACTCTGCAGTGTGCTTATAAGGTTTGCAGTCACCTTGCTGCTTGGAAAGTAAAGTTCAACACTAACAAAGTCCTCTGGAGCATTAGAGCACGTTGCATTGTGAATGCAAAATACCTGTGAAAACACTGTATTTCCGGCCAAGGATCCAAACAGGTTCTTTGGTCTCAGGGAAATCTTCATATTCGAACCTGAGAGTGTCATAGGTAAGAGTAGCTAGAAAGAGAAAGAAGAAATTACATACCTTTCAGAGCTTTTCTTTGTGTTTTAAAAATCACATAAAACTACAGAATCAGAGCTGCTGTGGCCCAGCAACTTACACACCCAGAGCACCTGTATGGGTGCCCCTGCAACCACCAACTCCAGAAGGCACAGAGAGCTGATGCAGCCCTGGCTCGCTCCTGGCTGATCTATAAGCAGAAAAGCAGAGGGATTTCCAGATTGGGTCAGCTCCAGGTTCTGCCTGGTACAGAAGTCAGTCAAGAAAATATCTAGGACTTCAGCTGGCAGCTACAGTCTGTTTACCAGAACAAGCACCATCGTGCATGTCACCAGCAACAATATCGAGGTCCTCTCTCCAAGTGAGCGAAGTGATTAAAATCCTTCTTCCAGATAATATAATTTGTGGAGGTGTACCACAAAAAGCACAGATCAGATTTAAGATGGAAACTAAACCTTGCTCTGCAAGTCAGTCCCTTCTGAAGAAGGGATGAATCCAGAAGTCATCACTTGCACTGAAAACAGCCTGCAGCCTGAGGAGAAGCACTGCCTTTACAGATGTCACGCTAAAATCTGAGGAACACAGAGCTGTGCACAGATGTGCTCATTCACAGGAGACAGACAAACTCCTTCACAGTATGATATCCACCAGTGCCTAGATATCCATCCTCTTACATCACCCCTACAGAACAATTCAGCAGCACAGGCTGGCCTTGGATCAGGGCAGCTTACGCTTTCATGCAAAAGGCACAGGCGACAAGGAGGGAAAAAAGGAGAGTTGGATGAACTGTACTTCACTAGGTCTGTATTTGGAAATAAAGCACTTTAAAGTGGTCTGGGAGGTGTCAATTCTTTAACAAATCACCTATATAAGATCTAAATGAGAACTCACCAGCCTGCTCTGTAACTGTTAAAATGGCTTTGAAAATACCTCTCACAGCAAATGCAATAAAATCTGCAGTAACATGACATGAGTTTAAAACAGAGCAACGGACTAAACAACCACCTCAGCCCCGCTTTCTCTGAAAGCCACCACCTTCTGTAGTGCACACTTTTTGCTTCCCTTCTGCTTTTCTTTGGTGCTGCCTATAGAGCAGACCTCACCCTTCTCACAAGTAGAATACATCTGTAGGTGAGCTTTTCTCCCAATCATTCCCTGCTTAGCATTCCAAAGCATCATCTGGTACACCAGTAAATAACAACTTGGCTGATTTGCATCAATGATAGCTCCAGAAAGTCACCACAAGGTTCTGCTCCCCCTCCTTCCAGACATCTAGGATACTCCACATTGTGCTGGGCCAAACAAGCTACACAAGACATTCCAGCCTCCTGTAGGTACCTCATCAGCCTTCTAGCCCTGGGCTCTCTGACCTGAAATTCCATCTCCAAATGTCAAAGAACATACTTAAGTAGTAGCAGCAAGACGCCATCAGTAAGACCAACTACTGTTTAAGCAGAGATGAAAATAGGCTCCTAAATCAAATTTCGAATTAGACTCTGGCCCTAACCTTAGCCCAAAAGATTTAAAGCACATTCCTTGTGTCAACTGGTCAAAAGTCTTTTCCAGGCACATTTAGGCACCCAGCACAGGCCATGGGCTCCCATTCCCATCCTGTGATGTGACTTCTCAACAGCAAGCTAAGCAAAGCAACTCTGATTGCACAGAAAAGTTACAGCAAATTAATGCAGTCTTTTCCTCTAACAAACTTTAGCAGGGAAATTAAGAATTTCTTTACCATATACTAGCCAAACTTTACAAATCCCCAGCACTCTATGCTTCTGTGTCTATCTTCACTTAATAGCTTGGCTTGCTTTGCCCCCTTTCTTGTTCAGTGTTGGAGATTTCTTTCCAGGGAAGGAAAGGATGTGACTTCTGCAGATGTTTTCAAGTGTGTATCACTTTCTACTTTCTCCCTTAATTTTCAGAAGCTTCCCTTTGGGATGAGACATTACAAGTTTATTCTGAGAGCTCAAAGGGTGGGTAATCATTAGGGTTTTTTAGAATTCAGTGTATGATCTTAGCATAAAAACTGAACTTCTTAGATATGTTTTAAAGCTCCAAGGAATATTTTGTAGTTTGTCAGTTCTCAAGCTTGCCATGAATCCAGCCCTCTGCCAAAAGAGTCTGAAATAGCTTAAATAAAATGACTGAAACAAGGATGCTACACAGAATATATCAAGCTACCCACCATCCCCCTTTCTCCTTCCTAGCACTATTTCCTCACATTCTCGAATGTCACACCCCCTGTGGAAACACATTTTGCAGGGCACCAGGTCCTTAGCAAGCACAGGATTTGCAACTGGCAGCTTCACAGCAAGAATGTGCTGAAAATGGACTGCTGGCGTCTTAACCCTTCAATCGAAGATAGTAGAGGAAGGGGTCAGTGGGCAGAAGGGATCCCAAGGCTGCCTGCTGGACCACCTGTGTATTCAGGGAATATAAAATTGCAAACTGCAAGTGCCATGACACTGAACATGTGGGAGAACAGTCCCAGCCTTGCAGTCCTTCAGCTGAATGCCCAAAAGCTGGACTCTGTGCAAAGGTCCTGTATGTCCAGCCGTGCATCTGAAAAATGTGGTGAGACATTAGTGAGCATGTTGGTTTTTTGGAAGAAAATACTTGCCACCATCTGACAAGGCACAGCTGCTAAATGCAGAAGTTAAGGTTTTACCTTCACAGGGAGGAAATTCAAGTGATTGCTCCCAGTTAGTATCAATGACATTATAATGTGAGCAGTAAACTCCCCACAAGTCTTGAAGCCACTAAGCATTTCCTTTACAAACATCTACCTTCATGTGCTCTGGCACTTTTTCAAAATTATGCTATTGCCCAGATGAGCTACATACGAGCCAGTGGGACTCAAACAATTCAGGCAGGGGTGCAAAGAGTGTCACAATTTGCACAGGAGCTTTTCTCTCCCTCTTATAGTTAGAGGCAAAGGGTCTGAAAATAAGTAAAATCAGAAATTCACCAAGCAGAAATCTTATCTGAAGATGCTCACTTCAGAGCTCCAGAAGTCAGGTGAGATCAGCAAATTTCTTGGGCAGCACTCCAAAACTTCACCTTCAAGAAGCCCTCAATCTATTTTAAATACCGACCTCTGGACATCCAGAACAGTAGAGCAGCAGCCTCTGCAGAAAATCCAAGTGCACATCAAATACAACAGCTCAACCTATTTCAGTGCACAGTGGATTTATAGTTAAAAAGCCAAGAGATTCAGGCCTGCAAAGCATGCCTTCAGAAAGGCAGCCTTGCTTTCCAGGAACTTCAGGCACGCTGTGAATGATGTGAGGTTGGCTGGATCTCTGCCCCACAGGCACACCTTCTACGGGGTCTGCATCAGTGTCCCAGAAAAACCTCCTCATCCCACACCCTCTCTAGAAAGGTCCAACAGAAAAGGCAAAGATTTGTACGTGCCACTACAGAAAACACTCATATTCAACAGCCTAGATAAATGCATTCAAACTAAAACTGCATTAAATACAAGCATGAAGCCTGAACATTTGAGTTCTTTTCCACTTTTGGGCACATGGTTAAATCTACTCAGTTACAAGGTAACAGGCCACATCACAAAAGCCTGCCTTGTATGAAGCACAAGGAAACAGCCCTTGACACACCCAGCACGTGCCTGCAGTGTCAACGACTTTCAACATGTTTACTAAACACGAGTATGTGCAAGTTTATTGAAAAACTACATATCATCTTGATATAGACCAAGAAAAACTGTCTCAATACACAGAATTAGGGTAGAGGGTGAAATCTTGCCTCCCTTCTTATATTCTTGTGCCGCACAATGAAAAAGCCAAGCTAAAAATGCTATCCCAACTTGTAATAAGCTCCCCCATAAATAAACCCTGAAGCACAGCCAGGCACTGGGGAGCAGACCCAGCCTGGTGATGTCAGTTTGCAAATGTGCTGAAGGCAAGATATGTGTTTACAGCAAGTATCTAGTCCTTGACAGCCACTAACTTAATCTGCTTTACCAAAACCAAAACTATTTGGTTTTCTATCAACTTTGGGAAACAAATAACAAGTCAAATCTTTGATGACCCAAACAGAAATGTGGCAAGTGATTTTCCCTGTGGTTTACACAGTAAAACAGCTGATGTTCAGCATCACTCATCTTGGTTACAGTTTACCTGCACAGCTTAGAGGTTTTGTCAAAAAACCTTTTATACAAACTAGTGAAGCAGAGATGGCAAGTGTTACACTGAAGGAAAAGGAGGCTTTGCAATACCTCCCTTGCAAATTGCTTCCTGGGCTTCCCCCAGTAACAGCCCTCAGTCAGCACCTGCAACAGCTTAGAGACACCTTCCCCCAGTCCTTCAGCCTCCCATTACACTGCCACAAAAGAATCGGAAATGGGGCAGATGGATCAATTCCCTCAGCTGGTAAAGGTACATCACCCAAGGCAGAGTGGAGAGGAGGAACACTATTGGATGTAGAATATTTCAAGAGTCCAGAAGAGAAGGTAAATTCATGGTAAACCTTTTTGCATTGCTGAAAAAGGCCTAGAAAACAGATAACTGATGAGCCTGAACCCTTACTTCTGGCCTTTGCAGAAGAAAGATTAAGTCTTTTCTTTCCCCTAAGCTTTTTCAACAAGACAAATCTCACTTATCTAAGCAACAACGAGGAGTTAAGACACAGCCAGGGAGGAAAGCCAGTCAACTGGAGAGCAGCACTTTCTTGGAGGCTCAGAGCAAACAGCTCAGAGCCATCAGGTACCCGACTGTCTCAGGAGCAGGGCTGGATGTGAAGGGGCTTGAGCTCTTGTTGCTCCAAAGACCAGAGACCCAACTCCTGTTTGCACAGAGGAGAGCCAGCCCTACTGTCTATCACAGCAAAGTTTTCCTTCCCTTGATAAACCTTCTAAAGCTTACACAAGGAAAACCAAACATATCTTCCAGCTCAAGTTGTGTAAGTTCATTTGCTGGAACCCGTTTTTGTTCTCAGAAGTGAGAGACTGGATGCAGCGATGTGCAAGGAGGTGCCA